TTTTTTTTTTTTTCTTTCTGGAAAACTTCTGTTCTTATTGCAAACCCTTTGAAAATTTAAAAAGGAAAAAGAAAAAAAAGTTCCACAGATGATAAAATCCAGCTAAGGAATCTAGCTTCTGCCTCAAAGAAAAAGGGATTGGAGGGTAGGAGCGTAAGGAGTGATCATATTGTGCACAGATCCTGTCAGAATTACTATTTTGATTTTTATTTTAGTGGAAAGCTTTGACCTTGAACTTTTTTCTAGCAAGGAGAGAGGAAGGGTCTTAGGTGGCACTGTGGCTTTTTGTTGATTTTGGTTTTGTTTTGTTTTTTATTTTTAACACCCTTCGTAAAGTTGTGGCTATTAGTTTCCAGCACCTGTACTACTTCACTACATATGCATCTTCTTAACTGTTTAATCTCTCTTTAGAACTCTTCCTGACAGAAGAAGATCAAAAGAAACTTCACGATTTTGAAGAGCTGTGTGTTGAGATGTATTTCAATGAAAAGGATGATAAATTTCATTCTGGAAGCGAGGAGAGGATCCGAGTCACATTTGAATGGTAGAATATTTACAAATAAAATTTCTGAATAGAGAAGCTTAGAACTTTTGCAGATTTTTGAAACGTGCTTTAAGTGGGGTAAAATGCAGCTCAAGAAAATAAGTATTTATGCAAACTTTAGATGATGTCTTTCCATTGCTGTGCAGAAACTAAGTGTGATTGATGCTTCCCGATCTGTAGCAGCACTCAGTAAGCTGAGGCAATTGTTCTCATGATGTTTTAATAAACTGACAGATTTGAAAAAGTGCTGTAGGCCCTCTATTGATGTGTATGTTAATCTTGTGATTCAGAAGTATGTACAAATGTTATGTTACAGAACGGTCCAATACCGTCTTGAAATTTGGGAATTTTTTTCCTTAAGTGGGCAGAAAGAGTTGCAAAGATGTTTCTTTTGCATATTGAGAAAAACACCTTTCATAGCTACTTCATAATTTGATTTTTCTTAGGGTGGAACAAATGTGCATTCAGATAAAGGAAGTTGGTGATCGTGTCAACTACATAAAACGGTCATTACAGTCTTTAGATTCACAGATCGGCCACCTACAGGATCTCTCTGCTCTAACTGTGGATACTCTGAAAACACTGACTGCACAGAAAGCTTCGGAAGCCAGCAAGGTTCATAATGAAATCACACGGGAATTGAGCATTTCGAAACATTTGGCACAAAACCTCATTGAGGATGGCTCTCTAAGATCATCTGTGTGGAAAAAGCACAGCATTGGAAACGTCTTCGGTTCTTTTCCACAAGGAGGCCTTGAAAGTAATAATGCTTTACTCTGTAACATTTCTATACGTGATGAAAAAGAAGTCCAACATAAGACAATTGGTCAGGAGTTAGCTCCAGTTCCCCGAAGAGAAGAAATAAACTTTCAAGAGGCAGGTTCCTCAGGCAGTGCCTTATTTTCAAATGCTGTTTCCCCTCCAGAACTTCGCCAACGAATACAGGCTGCAGAGATCTCAAAATCTATTAGTAGAAGTAAAAAATTAGGCAATTCATCCAACAGCATGCCACATGTAACATCCCAAACAGCTAAATTTTTTGTTAGCACTCCATCTCGGCCCAGTTGCAAAAGTCAGCTGGATTCTTCAGCAAAGCGTGAAGAGACTGTTTTCTCTAAGGCTACAGAAGGAGATAATAATGTAGAATTTGGTGCATTTGTGGGTAAGTATAACAAAGTAGATTCTGAATGTCCTGAAGTCATTATTAGCTGCTCTTATCCTCTTGCTTCTGGCTCTGCTTGCCTTGCTTTCACCCAACCTTGTGTTGAAAATGGAGGATACATTAATTGTGGTTTTATTCATGATGAGAGTGACACTAATGATAACTACAGCTGCAGAGTTGACAAATGTGATCACCAGTCCTCTGTCACCTTATCGAAGAACAACCCCCAAATGAAGTTCTCTTTGTCAACTGGCGACTTGACGTCAACAGTCAACTGTGGCGGCTCACATGGAAAATTGAATATTAAAGATGAACTTTCCAAAAGTCAGCATGTCCATGCAATGGAACTACAAACCCAAGATTTATGTTCTAACATCCTTATGGGACTACTTCATAAACTGTGGACCAAATCTAAGCCACAAGGTTTGACTTATCAAGAATTGTATAGTATTTTGGGTGTATTCCGGTTGCAGGTGACTTTATTCTACCATTTTGCTCTGCTTTTTTTTGCTTTTAACATCTCTAATTTCCTTATGTTGCTTGAATTTTTTTTTTTACTTAAATTATCATTTCTTTATAATTCTGTCACATAGACAATATTTTTCTGAAAAACGTTAGCCAGTTGTTGAAGATAGCAGTTTTGTGCAATTAGCAGCTCTACAACTTGGTATGGGCGTTGTAGACAAACTTTTTGTGACTCATTACAAAGCTCCTACCTTCTCATTGCATAAATTAAAAATATTGTCTATTTCTTGACGTAATTACAGAAGACTTCTTAGGCTGATGGAATCCTGGACAAATATCTTTGTGGTATCTGTGTCAAGCTGAGGGATCCTCCTATACTATGTTTCTAAACACTGTTATAACTGGGATCTTCCACTGTTGCCTAGGCTAACGTATCGTTTGGCAGTCGTTTTGGAAGTTTCCAAAGTCCTTTTATTAAATACAGCATTATGCCTCCCCTCAAGTTTTTCTTAACAGTAAAAAGGTGCACGTTTTTGGTTAGAGTTGCCTACATATCTGAATGGTAAAACAGTGGCAGATTCATTGCAAAACACAGGTGTGGGTTTACTAACTGATTTCTGTAAAGCAGATAATGCTTTAAGTACGCTTAGTGTATGGCAGCAGATCACAATCTGGAATTGTCAGGTTGCCTGCAGAGGTGGTGTCTTGCCCCAGTTGTTCAGGGATGTCTCGGTGTTTTCCAAAGGTTTGTTGAGGATGTAAAAATTTAAATCTTTAGACAAGAGTTTATTCTACTGCTGTGAAACTCAGAGTTCTAAGAAGTTACCTGCATGCACTAGCATTTTTAGATTTGTGTATGCGTAGGAAGAGTATCTACATGTTTGTACACTCACTAGCTATTTGTTTATAACTTCCTCGTGGTTTAAAAAAAGAAAACTTTTTTTTAAATTCAGAAAGCAAGACTTAAACAGAAATAATGGACAGTGATTGTATAACTCTAACCTTTAAATGTACTTCACCACTAATAACTTTGAATACTAACTATACTTATTTTACTGGAGCCAAATTTTTAGTGTATGTTCCTCTGACATCTCTAGCATTTAGAACATACTCTTCGTTCTTACTGTCCACATTTTATAAAACTTGTGATACAATGCAGCTTTCCATTGTGAAGCCAAGTAGATTTTCATTCGTTATAAAGTCACATGCTCGGTAAAATTCTGAAAAGTATTTCGTGCAGCTGGGAGGATGAAGGGTATGTTGTAAAAGCTACCTCAAGAAAACTGTCTGCTTTTCCTTCATTTGTCATATGTACATAAAAATACTGTAATTCAGACTGCCCTGTTCCTTTCATGTGAGGAGCATATGCTTGAGTAAAATCTTAAAACGTTAGTTTTACTTTTTGAATTGTGGTAATCCACGCCTTAATGCAGGAAAAGCAATAGTTTCATATTAATGTTTTGTTACACTGATTTTTACTTTAGTGTGTTCGGAAAGTCTTCTGTAGTGCAAACAGGCACACAGAACTTGGATGGTTTGTAACCCTTTGCTGTGGTGATGCAAACTATTGGCATGGTCAGAACGTTGGAGGTTTGCCTTTGATTTTGAATGCTGTTTTTCAATTCACTGTGTCAAAGGTCACAGAGACAGCATGGAGTTGCAGCGGTTTAAAGAGGCAGCAAGCAAAATTAAAGAAAGAAGTGCTGATATTGAGGTAAGCATGGAAGACTATCAATCACGTTAACGGGGATAATTTTTTTTAACTGTAACTTCACAACATGTTTTGAAAAAGTCTGAGAGCAAATATAATGAAAGAACTTGCAAAATGCAGCCTGGAAGAAATGTGTATCTGTTTCATGATTTAAAAAAAAAAAAAATATCTAGTGAAAACTCATGCAACCTTAACTACACATCACGTACTGTTGCTTCATGATATGATACTAATGAAATATTAAAGAAGATCTGAAGTTATGAAAGCTGAGATGACAACAACTGTGAATTAAGATAAAATTAGGTATCCTGTAATTAGTGTTTAATGAAACTTTTGACACGCATGAATTTCAAGATCAGCATTTAAGAAGGTTTCGGTGATTTACATGATATTTTATAAAGCAAGATGATAGTGTATATGACTTTAAAAAGTGACAAAAAATGTTCATTATGCTTCCAAGAAGAAAAGGCCTTTCTAATAAACTTGTCAAACTAAAATGATGTATAATTTCCATTTTCTCAAAGAATAATAAAAATAACTAAATGGAAAGTGATTAATTGTAACAAACCTGTCCTCCAAATGCTATAGTATATATTAAAAAAGCTAGTTTTCTAACTGTAGCTATTAAGATAAGTTAGTAAATACAAGTTACCATTTGCAGTTACCCCTCATTCAGGGGAGAATCTGACTTGAGAATTGCATTATGACCATTTGCAATGTCAGCGTTCTGCTGAGTTGCTCCTTCTGGACCTTCTGATAAGTATAATGTGTGACCAAAAATCCTTTTTGTGTGTCTTTTGGCATGGCTTTTTTGGTAATAATGTTTACAGTTTGCTTTCGTTTCTTTTTTTTAATAGGAGCAGCAGGAAGACTTCAAAAAAGCTATATTGGAGGGCATAGAGACAACCAGACTTCAAGTAAGTAAAGAAGGTTTCCATTTATAAGAGGCATCATTTTCACCAGATACCGAATGTAATGTATTCTTTACAGCAAAGACCGGGAACTCTATTATCTTATATCATTATCTGTAAGTAAACCCTGGTCATGATTTAAAGAAAAGACACACACACAAAAAAAAGTTGTACAGTACAGCTGTACAAATACAGCTGGATGTCTCCTTGACGTAGGTCTAAATAGTTCCAGTGTTCGGTACTATTGGGATGCAAACTCCAGTAGCATTTCCAGACAGCACCACTGTTCTCAAACAGTAATAGAGTTGTCCCATCTTAACTGGTGGGACTGGTTTGATTCTTACCTTTCATGTAGGCCCTACAGTCATTGATTGTAAGATGCTGAAGATGTATGCTGAACACTGAAATGCATATAGACCTAAAAATGGGTCTTCAGAAGACACTTTCAGCACATGCATTCTGTGTGTTGCATTCCAGTGAAGTATTTTTCTTTAGGGATGTAAAGAAATAGTCTCTCGTGTGTGTGTATATATACATGCTTATATACACACATGTGTATAGGTACACACACATTTTGGACACATGTACATACACACAGGCATGTGGGTATGTGTTTAGGTGTGCGTGGATGTATTCCTTAAGAGAGAAGGGTGAAAAAGAGTGGTAATTCCCTAACTGTTATAAATCTTGGAATCAAAGCAGGGCATAGCATTCCCAGCTCTAGTTTTTTATTCTTCAAAGTCTTTAATTTTTACATTTTATTCAGGTAACCATTGGAATTAATAGGCTGGTTGTGAGGAATGTTCCAGCCCTATGCCAGTCTACATATAGTTCTAGTTTGTGATGAAACTGCCTGTCTCCTTTTTTTGCAGAAGAAATGTTTTGTTGTCACAAGCTGACCACCTCAGTAGATACTCAGAAAGTATGTCATTATTATTAAGGAGTAAGTCCATGAGGAAATTCCATTCACAAACTGTAGTGTTTTATGTGGCAAGACTTCTCTAGTTTTTGTTCCTATTTTCAGTGGCAAACTGAACTTTAGTTTCTGCCAGAGCCAAGTTCTTAAATGAGAATTGATAGTTAACAAAGGCATGTGACAGAATAGCTGAACTTGGTGCTTGTAGAGATCCAGTGTAATGTACATTTCTGTAGTTGTATCCTGTTGTAACTTTCTCTTTAAAAGAATTCTTTCAGTATGGGTCAGTAGTCTTAATGTGCACCTGAAAATGTTAGAGCTGGTGGTTACTGTGAAGAGCATTTGAACTAAATTATGCACTCAACTTGTACGTTTTTGTGCAGCAAGGTATTTGACGTACATCCAGAAGTTTTAAAAAAGAAAAAAAAAAAAATTCTAGGTAGTCCTAGAAAAGAAAACTGGGCAGATTGTGTGCCAAAATAGTACTAGTTGAAAACAATGATAATGATGACTAAGGATATGTGTGTGTTTTTTTTTTTTTGTAGGGTCTTCAAACTGACTGTGGCCTAAGACAATCTAGTTCTTGCGGTGGGTTTACTGACCCTCTGGCAGTCCATTCAGAACAACGTAAGTGTGTCATCTTTTCAGGTGACTTAATTTTATCTCTAAATTGTATTGATAATGCATATTCTAAGAAGATACAAAGGAAACACAAAAAGCTAAAGCATCTTGAAATATTTTCATGATTCTTCAAACTGACTGTGGCCTAAGACAATCTAGTTCTTGCGGTGGGTTTACTGACCCTCTGGCAGTCCATTCAGAACAACGTAAGTGTGTCATCTTTTCAGGTGACTTAATTTTATCTCTAAATTGTATTGATAATGCATATTCTAAGAAGATACAAAGGAAACACAAAAAGCTAAAGCATCTTGAAATATTTTCATGATTGGCGCTACTTGAATCTGCTCCTGTGTCTCATTGTGGTCCCTCTAGTCATGCCAGTTTAATTCTGTTACCTTGTATTTGCCACAAATAGCTAGTCATAAAAAGCTAAGTGTTCTAGTCAGGTCTGTGCGGGAAACTTGTAAAGATCAGATAGCTGCGGGTCAGGCTTTTTTTATGAGAGCCACATTAAGCTGTCTAGTTGCTCACTCTATTAGAAAATAGGTAAGTAACAATGATGCATGCCGTTCTTTGTCCAGTTATGAATCTCTTTCATTCGTAGTATACAGCAAGAGTCGAAGAGCATCGAGTGAAGACGCTCAGCAAGTGGACTCTAAAGCAGCCTTACTGACGGTTTGCATCTTCCTTTTTTGTTGTTGTTAAGCAGAACTAGAAACTGTGAACAAATAAAGGAGATGAAACATATTGTACAAAGAATAATACTGGTTTGTGGACTCATTTGTTCAAGGAGGCAACCGAAGGGAACCTATTTTGACTGAGGGAAGAAGTTGTGCATGTTCTCTACTACGTATCGTGCATATTCTCGCTATGAAAACATGCTGCTTCCTGTTTACGGAAAAAACCACAACTTTTTGTTTAAGAAAAGAATTATTTATATAATCCATAAAACAGTAGTGAATGTATAGCCTTATCTATTCTTTTAACTGTAGTTACCATTCCTCAGTTGTATTTGAGTCTTTCTGTTCAACTGCAGTTCAGTACAGCCTGGTGAAGTATTTCCGATAAACAGGCTGTACTGCAAGATCTTTAAAACACATTACCACCCCACCTCTAATTATATATACTATGTTTTCCTTACAAAACTGAAACCTTCTTTGTTTTTCCTCTCCTTTGTTTTAAAGGATTGGTTACAAGGTAGACCTTCAAACAGCAGTCAAATGTAAGTAAGCTTTCTACTAATGGAGCAATTTTATTACTCTATATTTTGATTCGTTTTTCTTTTTGGTTGTTGTCTTTGGCTATAGCGGTATTCAGTCGTGTTTAATGAAAAAACAAGGTTTAAGGTTTTTTCTAATAAATAACTGAATGTGTTCACTGGAATGCTTTGACAGGTTCTATTTAGATTAATGGGGTCACATGTCAGAGGGCAAAACATGCCCTTAAATGAAAATGACTGTGTTGACACTTATTAAGGAGCTAGCTTCCTGGTAAAGGTCTTTACCCAACCTTTCAAACTGTAAACCTTCTCTGAAATTGTGCAGACATTGCTCTTGTTAACAATTATCCCCCGAGTTAACTGTTAAAGCCATTACCTTATTAATCTGATAACAGAAGGGTAAGCTGTTGTGAACAAGTTTTAATTAAAGCACCTCTGTGGGAATGAGCTCTTGTGATGCAAACTTTACATAATGTGCGTGACTTGGTGGTATTTAAAGTATAGCTCTAAAAACATGAGATTACTTAACAGCCTTCCATTACTGTTTTGTAATTAAGAAACCTGTACTGCCCTTGAAAAAATAGGATAAAAGCAGTGCTGTGAGGCTAACAAGGTGACCTAGGATGATGTGTCAAAATCAGTGAATACAAAATAAGTTTTTAAGAAGCAATGACTGTTGGTTTTGTGGCATTTCACAGGCCATCTGAAGAAGATGCGTTGAATGGTAAGTTTGTTTCTGCTATCAACAGGCTGGGAGCTTTTCATATAAGCAACTGTTTGGGTCTTGTATGAGAATGTATTTAACTACTGATACGTTGGAACTTAATGGACACATAATAGTGTGGGTTTTTGTTTGTTTGTTTTATAAATAGCTTACCATTGAGCACTACAATTTTTTAATTCTTTTTTCCCCCTGAGGTACTGAAGAACTAAGCATGATACTTTATTTTCTGCACAGCAAATCTTTTTCAAACTCTAGTTACTTGGCAAGTGTTCCTTGCATGTGGTAATTTTAATACACAATACAGGCAGCAGGCAGTATCTCTTTTTTTTCTTTCTTTCTTTTTAATCTTTCAGGCATTGCTTCTCCTTTCAAGCCTATCATGGATATCAATTACTATTACTCAGGTCAGTCCCTCTTATGAACTAATGCTCATATTTTTAATGACACTTATTAGATCCTTAAACTCTAACAAATAATTCTACTTCTTGCTGGTTCACTATGGTCTTTCGGGGAAGAAAACAAAAGTAAACTCTGTACAGATTCCTTCTAATATTGAATGATCAAGCCAAAGTTTTAGTGAACTAAAAGAAGTCTAGTGTCTGTCTTGTAGCACTCAAAAATGTAAGTGAGTGTGACACCTTTTCTAGGGCAGCTCACTTGATTATGAAATCCAGATTTAATTGTAGTTGTCCTCAGAAATGGTTATACAGCGATGGATAGTATTGTGCTAACGGTTTTTATGACAAACTATTCTGGAAGGATTCCTTTAAGTTGTCTTGACTCGTATAAAGCGTAAGCAAACATTTATTCAGTGTTCTTAATGCTGTTTGAACAGGGTCGTTAATAGTCCCAATTAGGAGGACAAAACCGCTGTACTACTTTGCTGCTGTATGAAAGAAGTTGGAGAGGGGTCTTCCCACTGGGTGGTTTAAATATTTTTGTTAATTCAGGATGTTAGTAACAACTTAATATTGCAGCATGTTGAAATCTAAGAAACTGTAGGCTTTCAGTGCTTTTAATTTTAAACTTGGAAAATTAAATGCAGTAATTGCTTTTTGTGTTGTAATGTAGGTGAACCAGTCACTGTGTATCGCCTTGAAGAAAGTTCTCCCAGCATCTTGAACAACAGCATGTCTTCCTGGTCACAACTAGGACTCTGTGCTAAAATTGAATTTTTAAGTAAAGAGGAGATGGGAGGAGGTTTACGTCGAGCTCTTAAAGTAGTATGCACGTGGTCAGAATATGATATCCTGAAATCAGGACATCTTTATATCATCAAGTCTTTTCTTCCTGAAGTTGTGAATACTTGGTCAAGCATTTATAAGGAGGACACCGTGTTACACTTGTGCTTGAGAGTAAGTTTTATCCTTGTCAATTATTAAACATAGACAGGCATTATATGTTAACAGGATTCCACCCCATCCAACACTCCCCCCCCCAAAAAAAACCCAAACCCCAAACCCTAGTATATACTTACTAAAAAAAGAGGGGGAAAAAATAAAGTCTGCAGTTCTCTATGAGCTGAAGGGTGAAAAATTCTGCTCCAGTATGGTTTACTTAATCAAAGAGCTCAAACTCTTGAAATGTAGACATAATTTAAAAAGCAGGTAATTAGTTACACTGTCTTGGGGGAATAGACACTTGCTGTTCCTGCTGCCTTTTTGGCTCTTTAATATTCCCTGTCATATAATGCAGCTAATGAAATACGGGCTTTGCCTTGTAGGAAATTCAACAGCAGAGGGCAGCACAGAAGCTCACCTTTGCTTTCAATCAAATGAAGCCCAAATCCATTCCGTACTCTCCAAGGTGAGTGTATTGAAACTGCCACTACGTTGCGTGCTTTTGACATAGAAGAATGCCTACAGGGCTGTTAACAGATGGCTCAAATATATTAAGGTACTGATATGTGAATATACGTCTCGGAACGTTACTATGAATGTGTCAAGCAGAATTATCCTTGGCAGTATTTTCTATTGACAATTTTTGCACCCATTCTAGCCTAGTGTGATAATATAAATGACTTTGTGTAATAGCTTCAGATTATTTAAATTATTAGTAAACCAAATCGAAATCTAGTAGTGCTGATATATTTGCCATTTATTTTGGAAATATGTTCATTAAGTATGCTTTTTACTAGGTTCCTGGAAGTTTTCCTGTTATACTGCCACTCTGCTGGCCAGTGGTTTGCAGTTGAAGAGTGCATGACTGGAGAATTTAGAAAATATAACAACAATAATGGTGATGAAATAATTCCAACTAACATGCTAGAGGAGGTTATGCTAGCTTTCAGCCATTGGACATATGAGTATACAAGAGGAGAATTGTTGGTACTAGATCTGCAAGGTAATGTCCTTATTTAGAAATTGGGATTGGGGCCAAGATAGGTGTATGAGGGTTTTTCTCTTGTGATAGCGTTTTATTAAGAATTCGTATGCCTGTAATAAATAACAAGCGTTATTTAGTGCATCTTGGTCTAGTTAATCTGGATCTATGGTTGTCTTATTTAAAATGGCATTAAATCTTACAGCAACACAGGGAATATAAATAAATACATCTTTTCCTAGTGATATGCACCATAAAGTAGTCTATTTTTTGGTACATTTGTGTAGTGCCAATATGGTAAGCTGTATTTATCCTGAATTGTGTGTCAGATATTCTGGCTGTGAGAACTATATAGGAAACTTCTTTCACGCGGGTGAAAACTAAAGTTAGGAATTGCAGGCAGATGTAAAAATAGGTGGAAGAAATCTGAGAAGTACAAAGTGCTTGTTTAGGAGCAATTTTTGTAAGGGCAAAGAGTATCACATATCGTTTGGGTTAGGGTTTTTTGTTTGTTTGTTTTTTCCTCCTGCTTTTATTCTTGGGGAAGCTGAGAAGTCGTAGCTAAGGATGCCAAGGCTTTTCAATATTAATGCATTTATGTAATGTATCAGATTTAACTTTTTGTTCATGTGCTGTCTGAAGGTGTGGGTGAAAATTTGACAGATCCCTCTGTGATAAAAGCTGGAGAAAAAAGGTAAGCTTAAAGAAGGATTTAAAGAAAAGTATTATAAAATTTTCGCCAGAGAACACCATGTTTATGTGCACTTTATTTCTAAGGTCATATGATATGGTGTTTGGTCCGGCCAATTTGGGAGAGGATGCAATAAAAAACTTCAGAGCGAAGCATCACTGTAATTCCTGCTGCAGGAAACTTAAACTTCCTGGTAAGAATTGCTGTATTTCTTCTTTTGTGACACTCATGTCATGAAATGTTGTATGATATGTAATGAAATAGTTATGTCATGCTGTGAAAGTGGAATAAGTAATAAACAGCAGTTTTTTAATTTGACTTTTAAAACAATATGCTATTTTAAGATAAAATCCTAAATGAAGGAATTGAGAATGTCTGTGTGTTCTACATCCATGTGCACAGTATTTGAGGAAGGTAGACTAAATGGATCAAGACTTCAGAAGGTGCAGTAAAAAAATGATAAAGGTTCCTAGAAAAAGTAGGAAAAGCAGGTCAAGATGATTGCAGACCTTCAGGCTTTTTAAACAAAATGGTGCTGGTGTTTGTTTTGGGGTTGAGGGGGTGTTTATGGTTTATGGTTTGTGGTTGTTTGTTTGTTTGTTTTAATTTATTTGAGGTGTTTGTTCCTTTGCTGTTTGTGGGGTTTTTGTTTGTTTGTTTTTAAAAACATGTCCAGGTCTGCAGAAATTCATTCCATTAAAAACTTTAAATTCCAGATATTTTTGCTGCGTGGACTACACTACACTCATCTCAAACCTTGAAATTGTTTCTCTGTATCAGGCTTTTAGACTCCAGCAGAACAACATAAGGAACTTGTGTGATTCCTGCCTGTTTCACACTGACAGGTTGTTTCTCACATGAAGAGAGGTTATTTATTTTAAATTTGAGTTGTAAATCCTGGTGACATCAAAACAGGTCATGGAAGGATCCAATTTCCATGGAACATTGACTCAATACTTGCTGTAATATCTACAAATAAAATAATTCTGAGGTTTCCATCATTTTTTAAAGCAGAGCTTTAGGCTTCCAATTACATGTACGATAAAAACATCCTTTTTTGACATAGTGCATACTGAGGAATTCTTCTTTATAAGTACATATGCACACCCAATTCTTTAAAAGACTTCTATGCCCCATTGGTTCTACTAGCTCAAGAAATAGTTATCAATAGGACTTCATTTTGTTTGTACAGATCTGAAGAGGAACGATTACACACCTGACAAGATCCTATTTCCTCAGGATGATTCCCCTGAATTGACAATTCAGCCTGGAAGCTGCACCAAAGAATCCGATTCAGCTAATTCTATTCGTCTGATGCTCTAATGATGTGACCAAATCAGTGGCTTCATCCAGACTTCACGGAATGTCACGCAGTCGTCACTTATCTTTCTTTCACTATAATTAAAAGAAAGATATGTCAAAACAAGGATTGCTGTCTAAGTGGAATTTTGGCTGGTCCGTAATCTAAGGACCTAACAGCTTGTGATAACCATCTACAGAGAACAGCCTGGCAGCTGCTCATTTTAAAGGTTGAATAATGACAAGTATTTAAGATATGTTTTTAAAGGGGCTGTTTAGCAGAAGGTTTGTTTTTTTTTATTTTGTTTTGGTTTAGTGGAGGATTTTCTCTCTGTAGTCCTGTGGTGTGCAATATGCCTTCAACCAAAAGGATTTTGGTAGTTGATGTTTTAAGGTAAAGCATTTGTCTGTTTGGCAGCTGTCTTACTGTCAGTCAGCAAAAGACAGGAGAAAGCACCTACCTCTGTAATGCCAGAGTATACTTTGAGCATTTTTGGAAGTGTTCCACTAATGTTTTCTCACCAGACGTCTTGTCATCTGGCCTTTTGAAGAGGACAGAGCCAAATGAGGTGTGTGTATGATGCCAGTAGGCTGAGGTTGAAGGTAGGAACTTGATCTGTTCCAATAGAGAGAGAGAGTCTCCTGAATCAGGATTCAGCTTCGTGGCTGTAAAGCTGTTGGTTTTTTTGGTTTTGTATTTGTTGTTTGTTTTTTTTTTTTTTTGTGGAATAGAGCCCTAATTGTGCATAATGAAATTCCTTGTTTTATACATTTCAATTTTATCAAGTCACTGTCAAATAGTAACAAAGCCATGATAGACCGGTATAATCATATTTAATAGAAGAAATAGTATGTACTGGTCCAAATAAGTTGCCTTGTAAGAACACAAGTTGGAAGTGCTTTTCCTCGTACGTAGTGACTGCTTCAGAAGTTATGCCTTCCAAAGATCTCGTAAAACCAGTATATCAAACCCGAATGTACACATAACTTTTAAATGTATTTAAAATTGTGTAGAAAACATCTTTAATGTTATGTTATTTGTGGTACTTATTTAAGAGAGACTAGGGTTGGATTAGCATTATGTAAAGTACGGGAGATTGCAATGCACCTTCATGCCAATAAAATGTAATTTAACTGTCCCAAATATTGTTGAGCATTCAGCAAGAAAAAACTGTTGTCCAACTGAAGTTTCATGCTGCGATTTTTTTTTTTGTTACATAGGTACTAATTTGTAATTTTTAATTAAAAGGGCAGTATATAGCTCTATAAATTTTTTATTCAGTAGTGTATCTTATAGATACAGACCTAAGGCACGAACACAATAGCTGTTTAAATGGTGTTTTATGTTTGATGGGGAAAGGTAAAATGTTATAAGGATATAATACTGTATACATTTTGTATATCATTAAATCTTTAAAGAATCTAAAATAAATTTATTCTTGTTTACAGACTTCTGCTGTCCGTCTTAGTCTGAAAAGTTATTTGGGTGAATTCTGCTGAAAGGTAGAATTTGCCATGCTGGATCAAAGAGTTGTCGGCCCTTTGAGGTATCTCAACTTTGGCTAACACCAGAAACTAGGGGGAGGAAAAAAAAGTGAAAACTGTCATAGTAGACAAACATATGCGATGGGGTTAATGGGTAAATGAGACAAAAATATCTTAAAGCTCTTTACGATGTTTGTTTTGAATTAGGAGCTGCTTCGTGGATGCCTGACTGCATCCCCTTCTGTTGCTGTGAGGTAACGGGCAGTTATTCAAGATGTACCTACACCTTTTTGATGCTATATTCGTAGCCAAGTAACAGCAACGGTTAATCTGTAAGGTGAGGTGGCTCTTCAAGTTGGGAAGGATTTCTAGAGGAGCCTCAGGTGTTGTGAAAATGTGACCAAATTCTGTGTATGAAATAGGAAAACCATTTGGGGAAAACTAACTTCTTTGTTTCCTGACAAATAGTTAACAACGCACAGTTAATTTTTACAGCCATAATACCTGTCTTCGGTAGTTCTGCCTGTGACTCATTTCTTAACAGAATAAACAGATGTGACTTTTGTGTGGGTGGGTGTGATATCGGGGAGCGTTCCCTCCGCTCGGTGTTGCAGTGACTAGGGCCTGAAGCCTTTCCAAGACCAAAAGGGACAAATAGGGTTGGGGAATGTAAGACTTGGCGTGGTTAACGCTGTGCGTGTTTCTGTACATCTTCCTGGCCTGAGCGCTAGCGTACTCTGCATGAGAAGCCTATGTCTAAATTCAGGGGGGTAAAAATTACAACTTTCACAAATGATCTTCTTCACACTAGCGGAAAAAAATCACAAATGTCAGTATCCTTCAGGGAAGGCGTTGGAAAGGTGTGGTGGCAGAGAAAAAAAAACCACCCCAGTTGGTCTGAACGTGTTAGGATAATACCATGTCCTATCGATGTCAGGCTGTAGGAACATGAAGATGACCCTGTGTCATTTAACTTGGTTGAGAACATAAAGTGTCACTCCTCCGCTGAAACCTCATCAGTCTCGAAGCGCTCTATGAATACAGAAGAGCTGTGATCCTTTAGCTGTTAAATTTCCTTTAGATTACTGAGGAGGAGGAAAGTAGAAGCAGCACTGGAACTTCTGTTAACTATCCAAAAGCAAAGTATCAGCGTATCTTGTTAAAGCCTAGTTTTAAATACAGGAATATAATTCAAACCTTCTCTAATTATTTTTAGCAAAAATCTGAAACGCTTCGGTGGCTTTCCTGCTAAGAGGGTCTTTAAAGAAACTCTCTCATATAGGGAAGTAGGTAAGCTACGTTATTTTCCTTGACAGATAGTTTTGATTCCTTACCACCGTCCTCAGGATATTTTCCTGAGAAGAAAAACCATTGAATAACAGATTAAACTGAGTATTATGAACTTGAAGACTAGTGTTGGTTGCTTATGTAACTTCTGTTTTAAAATGCACTTTAACTTCCTCCAGCATCAACTTTTCTTTAGGCAAAACCCTCCAATATGAGGGTGCGCTAATTTAACCTGTTAATTAATCCAGCAAATTTAGCATCGTTGACTGCTTTCTTGCAGCATTTAGGTGTTGAAAGACTTCAGAGAAAACCAGTCCCAAATACATTGTGGCAAAATAGGCAAAGGTGAGTCTCCTGGGGAGCTGGTTTCCCAGCTGCTGCTCAGCAGCCATGTGAGTTCGGCAAAGGAGGGATTTGGTTTTTAAGCCTGTGCAGTGATTTCCTACACTTTCATTCCTCGTGGTTGCATCTCGCTTGATGCCACAACACTTAACACTGCAAGAATTTGGAGGGGGGAAAAGACTACAGCTGAAAACTTGGTAGTAACAGTTCATGTTGAATGTTCCTAAAAGATCGATTGGAAAAAAATATGCATTTTTTTAAAATATAACAATGCTGCTGAAAAGACTTCTGACCATTTAATCTTTCTTTTTACAATTAACGCTTTTCCTTGCAAGTAATCCATTTTGTGGTGAGAGTAATGGTAAGTCAATTCTCAGCCCCTGAGCTCGCAGTAGGTAGCACTGGTGAGGATTTGTATATCGTGTAATGTTAAAATGGTAGATCAAGGTCTTGATTTGGATTCCACAAAAAGTAGGAACAAGGTGATGCTTTTGCCTTCTTGAATGATGCACGTTAGCATCGCTGATTTTAGTGCTAAGAGTAAAATTCAGCTATATGGATTTATAGTCTTTTAAAAATACAATATATTTAATGATTTCAGTGGTTTATAGTTTTCAATACAAATTTTGTTCTACCTGCATGACAGCTATTACAGATTGAATTTAACTTATTGTTTCCCAATAAGGGTTTCAAAAAGTGCTTTTTAACGCTGCCGACAGCCTGTATATGACCATAGTACTTTTCAATACGTTTCTTCAAGTTATCTTCCTTCTTTTCTTTAATGTGTTCCCCTCCGTAGGAAGGCAGGACTCTGACTTTTGGTAAGAACGTTTTTAAGAATTAGTAGAGGTTGAAACAGCCCAGGTTAATGCTGCCAACTGCCGAATAGTTTGCAGTGTCATTGTTCCCTGTCCTGCAGAAGAGAAACGGATTACTTGGTTCCTTCCTTCTGTTCTCTGTATGTTTTACAACATCTCTTATTTAGTGCTCTGGCTCTAAACAAATAGTTGGCTGTGCTCGTGCTCGTTACTAATGGAGTGAAATCAAGATACAATTCCTTCATATCGGCTACGGTGGGGCCAGAACTTAAGCGCATCAAATAATTACTCTAGAAAATACTGTGGTCGCGTGCACTAGCACATCACTGTAAACACAAAGCTTGTGAAGAATTTGTAGCTGCTAAGCCTTTGGGGGTCGTAATTTATATTTGTGCATTTGCTTTTTTTTTTAGGGCAGATGACGAGAATATTTAGTCCAGTAACAGGAGCTTGCCAAGAAAATCGAGGAGCAAGTTCCTGACGTGGAGATTCCAGATGAAGTGGGCAGGAAAGGTAAGATATGCCGGGGGTATAGGGCTAATTACTGCTTCATTAGTAATAACGAAATATATCTCAGTATTATTTAACCGTGCAGAAGGGTGAAGGCATGTCAGCATGTGTTGTTGTGTTACACCAGAAGCTAAATAAATAAATAAATAAATAAATCCAGGCAGTGGTTTTCCGTGTTTGTGCCTTGTGCCATCTTGTTGGTTTTGTGCTAAGTATGAGATGCAGATAGTGATATCGGTAGTAGGTAGTAGTGGAACTAAGCCCCAACAATTGCTGAGGGGTGTTGCACAGCAGGAAGGCAGTGGTTTTCCGTGTTTGTGCCATCTGCTGTATTGTTGGTTTTGTGCTAAGTATGAGATGCAGATAGTGATATCGGTAGTAGTAGAAGTGGGAACTAAGCCCCAACAATTGCTGAGGGGTGTTGCACAGCAGGAAGAGGAGGATTAGGACAAATTGCTCTTTGAACAGCACCTGAAAAACTCTTTCCCGCAGGGAGCTTTGAAGTCAAGAAAAATGGCAAGCCAATTATTTTCTGAGATTGAAACTTCAGGCTTTCCCTTTTCAGAAGATGTGAGTAATGACCATTGCAACCAGCGGCAGCCCACTCTCATCTTGTTTCTACAAAAATGCAATTAACTGCTAACAAAAGCTGCCCTTGGACGGTGACGCTAGGCAGGAGGAAGCTTCCGCGTCCCTCACGCCCTTGCTGCAACCGAGCAGATCTGTTGCAGAAGTCTGCTAGAATTCTGTTTCTTCAAGTCAGATGTTTGTGGTCATTCCTTAGCCTCTGCCGTGGCCGTAGCTCAGCCTGTCCCTAAGCTTGCATGAAACGTCTGATGTCCTCCATCCCACGTGAGTATCAGTCGGTATGTCCTTCTGTGAAATCCATGGTAGAAATTAGGGTGTTTGTTCTAAGTAAGACTTAATAACTAGTATCATCTGGCTCCTGTTCCACTCGTGTGTGGAGACTGGGGTGGGGATGGGCATGGGCATCGCCTGAGCCCGAACAGGCGGTGGGAAGGGAGCAGCAGTGTAGAGCAGGAACCGGGATGCGGCTCGTGAATCAAATCTGCTGGTCGTGTGGAGAGACCAGGGGTAGGAAAGACACGCCGTGAGCAACTAGGAGCATGGATAGACGAGTACTGGAAGCACCTATGTCAGTCACCAGTGACAAAAATGGTTCATGGGAAGACAGAAGAATAAAACCAATTTAAATTATTGGTTATCTTTCTTTGAAGGGATATTTATAACTGCATGACAGGTAAGCTACTGACCCAAAGCCAGAAAGCCTTGTTAGCCCTTTCTTACCCTAACAAAATGTGAAGCTACACACCCCATCATCAAAATATCACAGTTTTGATTTTGACTTTTCTTGGTTTGCTTTTTTAGACTGGAAAAGCTGCTAAAATGAAGGATAAAGGAGACACTGAGAAAAAAAATCACACAAAGCATCAAAAATTCATTAGCTGGGGGAAGAACGCAAGCTGCTGGAAATGTACCCTGTATTCCAAACTAGGAACGGATACTTGCCATGACGGTTTTTGTCAAAAAGAAGATAAAATCAGGAAAATATGGAGAGTTATCCCCTTGAATACACAATCTAAGTGGCTAAATTCCAATAAAGTAAAATGAATTCCTTACTGTTCTTGTCCTTTCTTGATATTTTCTCCAATGTTGCAACTGTCCTAATTCCCATTTGAATTTTATTTCCGTATTAGTGTACATTACTAGAAGTTCATTCATACTTTTTTTCCCCCCGAAGGGCTGCAGGAATAAGCAAGGGGCCTTGGAATCGCAGAAACGTTGGAGGTGCTCTCACAGAAATGAGAATGAAGGCTCCATCAAAACAGGCTTTCAGAGAACTTACCAGACTCCTATACTTCTGTACAGACGACAGACGTATTACGGGCTTCAATCCATACCTGCGCAGAGACAAGAGTGCATAAATACTCTGCGTGCGTAACGGCAGTGTCTGCTGTATTTCAATTATCCAAAGCAAAACAAGCCAAGGGCAGCTGGTCTGCAGCAGGCCTTTTGATAAATCTGCAACGTGTACTTGTCTCTGTGTTTTCCCTGTAGCCCTCTGACGAAGTACCTCCGTCTAGGTCCAAACAATCACAGTCCCACGGGGGAAAACGCGTTGCATTTCCACCTCATGTTTTGCATATTTGAACTGAATAAATTTGCAGAAAGAGGCAGGACCGAATTCCTAACTAGTTGAGTTGTCCACAAAACTTAATTAAACAAATATTTTGGGGTGGGGGAAAAAAACCCAACACCTGAGAATACGCTTACGTGTTGGTACCTATT